TCGTAAAATGTCTGGTCTTTTCTATTAAAAAACTGAATTAAGTGTGATCCGACATCATCCGCGTTGTTAAAAATTCTACCATTTAAAGAGTTTTGCATGGAACGAAACAAATGGTAATCCGAAGGCGCAAGGTGAGGGCTATGTGGTGGGTGTGACAAAACATCCCAACCCAGTTCCAATAATTTTTGCCGAGTAACCAAAGATGTGTGGGGCCTTGCGTTATCATGATGGAAAACAACACTCTTCCGATTTGATAATGCCGGCCGCTTATCTTCAATTGCATCCATCCTTCAGTTTTTCGAGTTGTTCAACATACACATTTGAATTTATCGTTTGGTTCTGCGGCATGAGTTCAAAATACAAAATTCCTTTGTGATCCCCCCACCAGACTGACAGCATAATCTTTTTTTGGTGAATCTCTGCTGCTTTTGATACTGTTTGGGCTGGTTGATCTTGCTTCACCCATGATCTCTTGCGAGTAACATTGTTATAAACTATCCACTTTTCGTCGCCAGTAACTAGGTTCTTCAGAAATGGATCATTCTCATTGCGTTTCAGTAGCGGCGAATCACAGATGCTAATCCGTTGCGTCAAATGAATTTCCTTTAACTGGTGAGGGATCCATAAATCAAGTTTCTTGACATAACCAAGGGTTTTTAATTTTTTTTCAATGCATGTATGCGACACATTGAGCTTCTCTGCAATATCTCGTGTTGTGCTGTGACGATTTGAATCGATAATGGCCTTGATATGGGTTTCATCCACTTCGACTGGGCGGCCAGATCGTTGTGAATTTTTCAGTGAAAAATCACCGGAACGAAATCTTTCAAACCAATTTCGACACTGCCATTCTTTTAAGGCTTCATCTCCATATACGGCACATAACTTCTTTTGTGCTTGCGATGCGTTCTTGCCTTTTCGGAAGTAATACAATAAAATGTGTCGGAAGTGCACGTCCTGTTCTTTCATTTTTAAATTGGGATAAAAACAAAACTAAAGAACTAAACAAAAAAAATTTTTACTAATTAACCTAGAAGCCCATACAGTAAGAAAAAATATAGGTTAGATGCTCTGGCCACGTTAGCAAAACAAAAGAAAGTATAGAGTGAATCTGTCAACAAAAACGGCAATGACTTAGTTGCCCACCCAATAGTACTAATTTCATCTAGTGTTTTCTTTACGATCATGTATGAGTGATACATTGATTGAAGTCTAATTGTCGTGTCTATTTTCTATATATATATAATCTGTTGCAATCTCTCTATATCAGCTTCCTCCAACTTTACTATCCGCTTGCCTCTTATCTGTATCACCAGACTAAATTGTGTTGTAAATGCTTTCGGATTAAAAGCACTTCATAGACACAAACATATGCACACCTTTGAATACCAGATTTTGACCTATGAAATTCATTTTCTTCCTCTAGTTGGAACACGAAAGCGTGCCCGGCGTGGTGGAATCCATGAAAATTATTACCAGAGAGAAAACTGCTAGGTTAGTTGACGTTTTGATTAAAATAGCAATTGTAGGTTCTATTGTAATTCATTTATGTAAATTGCAGTGTGATCAGTGTTTCCGAAGATTGCCTGTCCATATGGTGTGGCTTTTTTAACATTCAATAGTGCTCGAAATTGCTATATGAGAAGTGATATGTTTAGATCCATTTTGTTTCTAAAGCCTGCTTTAAACTATCCTATTGCCGTGTGTAGGGAAATTATAATTGTAACCATTTTTATTAGCATTATTCAAGGTGAAATATGGTTCTCCGAGATTTAGAAAGTCCTTAGGTACTGCTCAACAGTTTTTTTTTATTTTTGAAAATTTAAAAATCATGCAATGACTCCGCAAATTAATTCACAAATTTCATTGTTCTTACTGTTAAATCTTTTCTAGAATTGCACATTTCGCCTTTAATTACGCTACCCGAAATGGACGCAAGAAGGTGACTGCAGTTCACAAGGCGAATATAATGAAACTCGGTGATGGTCTATTTCTGCACACCTGTGAAGAGGTTTCCAAACACTACCCTTCTGTACGTTATGCGATTATTTGTTCTACAGGTTACTTGTTACTTTATAAACTTTCAGTAATATAGTTTTATGATTTCTTAAATAGATTGAATTCAACTCGATGATCGTCGACAATTGTTGCATGCAATTAGTTAGCCGTCCCCAACAGTTTGATGTGATGGTTCTACCTAATCTCTATGGTAATATTGTTGGCAGTCTCTGTGCTGGATTGGTAGGAGGTGCCGGTGTAGCTGCTGGTATGAATTTAGGCGAACACTATGCGATCTTCGAGTCTGGCACACGTAAACAAGCTCGGGCCTTGAGAGGAAAGAATATTGCCAATCCAGTGTCAATGATCCTAGCTTCTGCTGATATGCTTGACCATTTAGGTTAGTCATCTTTAGAGTTTCAAGCTCTATGCAATATTTTGTTTCACCGCATTTTCTTTCCCATTTAAAGGCCTCTATGAAAAAGCTGCCATTCTTCGAAACGCAATTGTCGATACAATCTCAAGACAAAATATAAAGACTCCTGATATTGGAGGCTGTTACACAACGAAAGACGTGGTTGATGCAATTACATCGAGTATTATTAAGCAACTGCAATCCTAAATCATTGTCTTCGCGTCTTGTCATCTACTTTAACATCTCGGACTTTTTATTCCAATCTCTTTGCCCTTACAATTCACTCTGTGTTTGTTCCATTAAAGCTAATCTTTTCGAACTTAGTACCATGTTCTTATTTGGTCGTTTGGATTGTCTGATTTCGTATTTTGTGTCATAATATTCTTTAAAGTTATTTTGTGTTTTCTTGTCTGCTTTGTTTTAGAAATTTCTAATTTCATCTGCTTTAGAGTTGTGCTTTAGTTAATCCTAAACTTTTCTGAGATTTTTCGATTAAGATATATGACCAAATCCTGCGTTTCCTTGATACTTTACTTTTGATTCACTGAGTACATTTAACTACGCTTATTGAGAAAATAAAAAAAAACACGATGTTGTAAGTTCTTTCTGAAGTCAGCGATTTCTTCATAGTCCGAGTTGCCGTTTGCTCTATAGTTTTCCGTTTCCATTCTCTTAAGTGATTGTCTGCGCTAAGGGGAAAACATCGCGTGATTGTACTTTGTCGACGGCAAAAGTACGTCTTCGTTTTTTTTCCTGAGCTATTGCAATTGGTTCATAACCCTAAGGGGTAAAATCACTTTCAAGAAATTATTATTTCACTGGCAAATGGCTTTTTAACTTCGCGGTTTTCATTGTGGGCATTTTAGGTTAATCGAAGTGTTTTTAGTGTATTTGCACGTTAAAATTAGTTGACATTAGGTGTTTTTTATTCCTATTTTGCTTTACCTGAATAGTTTTGATTGGCTTATTGTGGTTCATCGGTCACATCCCTGCGTTCTTAGTTCATTTAGATTTATTTGTTGTTATTGAGATACCCAGCCTTTTCCAGTAAATAGCCACGTGATAAACTGTCCGAGATACGGAGACCTGAGTGCGGTATGCTTCCCGCTCACTTTATTGCATTTGTTTCCATTGCTTTTTGATCATATATCCCATAGTATAAACATTTAGCGCTATGCTAATGCTTTAACAACCATGAATTCAATGGGCTATGGTTATATTATTGCATATACCATCTTCCGTTTTTCAGTTTAAACGATGGAAGGCGGTGACCCAACTCGTTCCTCCCGAGAATCAGGAGGCAATCAAGCAGAGTCAGAGCGACGCAATGGTGGAGCTTTGGGTGGAATGGGACAACTTACTGAAGTGGACGAAGAATCTATCCTGGATGAAGAGCCTGCTATTGCTGAAAGGGAGGATCCCGGACAATCTCGAATTGGTGGAGGTGGTGACTTCTTCACCTCCCACGCCCACACTCAATATCATGCGTGTGGGACACAGACTATGGCTAAAAGGTCTTGGAGTTTTGATGCTGGCGATTCGCTCACTTGTATTGCCACGTCAAATTTCTTTCCTCTGATTGCCATTGCTGGCAGGAACTTGTTGCAAGTCTTGAGGGTTGATGATGATAAATTTATTTCAGTGAGTTTGACTTTTAGGCAGTTTTCTAAAACCACTTGTAAGCAGTTCATTTTTGTAATCTTTTTCTGACTTTTTGCATCGAAGGTGGTCATTAAGATTTAAAAAAAACTTTGACCTTTGAAAAATGACATATGCTAAGTTTTGCCATCTTCATTGTCTTCTAGCGGTTTGGTATGGTTTATGGGGTCAAGTGCTTCCACCGCCTAGTCGAAAGTGCTTGATAAAAAATCTACCCCCATGAAACTATTTTGAATACTTTACGAAAGAATTAAGAGTTGGTATCAAATTAACGCATTAGAGGCTAATGACACTTCCTTCTTATCTTATCCGGAAATAATTATACTATTTGTGAATAGTAAATCTTTTAATTGGTTTGCTAATATTCTTTAAATGAGATTCCTACAATTGTAATTTTTGTCGATCCAAATAACGTCTTTCAAATAGAAAGAGTTTCTTTTATTATGGATTTTCGATAATCAACTTTCTATTTCATATTTGAAGGTGGTACATCTGAGATTTAATATCAGTGGTCTTGAGTCAAGACCGTTATTATGGATTGATTCATTATAAATCTCAACCTATTGGCAAATTATGCCTTTTGTTAAACGGGTGGATTCATAAAATATACTCCCTCAGAACATATAAGTTGGATAGGAGGATCCAGCAATTTCAATGATACATTTCACTAGTTAGAAATTTTTTATGCACACCTAATTTGCCTGCCTTTATACCTGTCTTCTTTTCAATTTAGCTTTACGATTACACTTGTTTACATTATATAAGTCAGTTCTAGTAATTATAATAAGCATATCTGCAATTGTACAAGAATATTAGACCGATGGTGTTACTTAGCATACTTTCACAAGTACAGAATGACTAGCTTAGCTATCGTATGCTTTGTTATTGCCTTACAAGCTGGTCATCTGTGTATTGTTTTGGACAGGTTCATCGAATGACAAATCTCCAACGTAGCATTGGGAGTGCCACAACCGTGAACACTGTTCGACCTGAAACAGGTGCTTCAGGCACCCAAGGACTATCGATGCCCGCACATTTCCAACCTCCTCGGAGCTATGCCATCAACGATGTAGCTTGGTCGAACTCCAAATGTAAGCATTTGAAGCAAATCTTTGTGTTTTGGGAATATTTATACAGATGGCTTATATTTCTTTTTTTTATTTAAAATATAGCTATTTTAGCAACCTGCTCAAATGCTGGAGACTTGATCATCTGGGACTTGAGTCGTGGTATTGCTCAAAGTTAGTACTTTAATTTAGTATAATTGTGCGTAAATGGTGCTTATATTTATTTATAATTACTAAAAAATCCTAATTAGGATTCAATAGCAATATGCTTATGGTTTAATCGTTTTTTGGTTCAATATTTTTTTTGCAACCTGGAAACGATCTCAAATACTTCGATGATAACCTAGTATGCAATCGGCTCTTTTATTCAGCCACTGCATTATACTGCTATTCCGAGACATGCAATTTTAGGTTTGTTTTCGATTTATGAAACATAATTTTAAAAGTGCTACTATTGCTTCCTGTTGTTAAGCTTGGTTTAAACGCCATTGAAAATGTAAGTCTTGAGACGAAAGACCCACTTCAGAACTGTTTGTCTATCAATTATGATATATTTTCTCTGTGTTAGTGGTGCGACTAAAAACACCCCAGGGAGTATTTGTTAAGGGAAGATTACTGGCCCTTGTTTTGATAATCAACAGTGATTTTCTGTGCAAACGAAGTGATTCTATTATATATGCTGGCTCTGTTTTAAAAGATGGAAGATATGAACGTTTACTTACAGTAGGAGTTAATTTGGAACACCTTGAGTTGGACATAACCATCACTATGTAAACTTACGCCAACATTTTGTCCAATCACTCGACTTGTATTGGCTTACTTATTTGATAATTCACAACCACTACTTCGACATACTGTACGCAGGTTGTTCATGTATGACTTTCAGTGTATAGGAGCATTTAAAGTTGAAACCTTTAGCATTCATCACTAATCTTTGTTCTACTTCGAAAAATGTTCTCCCCAAGCCTTAATGCGTAATTGTTATTCTTGGATTATTGTGTTTCATTGCGTTACTTTTTTTCTGCAATTTTCTTTTATCTCACATTTAATATTACACGGCGAGATTTGTGCTTATTGCAGAAGTCAAATTGTTAACGTGTGCCTATTTATTCGATTTCCTCTTTGAAAGTGGTGAAATGCAGTGCGTACCCAGTTGTGCAGCTCTTTTTATACGTTATTTTTTTACTTAGCTATCTGCTTTGTTGGACATTCTCGCAGCGTGCATCGAATTCACTTCAATCCCAATGCTCCCAATGAAATCATCTCTGCTTCCCATGACGGAACCGTCAAGCTTTTTGTGAGCAAGTTGTTTTTCCAAAATTTAGTTTTGACTATCCCCCCATCTCTATTACCATATACTTTACGGATCGTAGTAATGAGCTGTAGAACTAGTAATGTCAACGTCAAGAAGTCAGAGAGAGGTTGTTAACTCAATAATTGAGAGAGACGACTCAGGGGCATCGGTCGTTTCAGATATAGCAGAAATAAGCATAATTGTTGTCTTGATCAACGTAGACATGAAGGGACATTAGCATATTTGGAAGTGGTCACACTGACTTAAGGCCTAGATGGGCTGTTCTATGCACCATATTTACATTTTGCTTGTCTCTTTAAGGATATACGTGATCAATCTTGTCGTCAAACTTTTCACGCTCGGACGTCCTGTTCTTCTCCAGTTCGGGATGTAGTCTACTGTCCTAATGAAAGCCATACACTAGCTGGGGCCTTTGAAAATGGTCTTGTGTGTATATGGGACACTCGATTTGACAGTCGGCCTGCCAGAAGCTTCCAAGCCCATAATGCAGTCACTGCTAGTATTGACTGGCATCCTAATTGGAATTCTGTTGAGTGAGTTTATAAAGTAAGACCTACTTAAGTTATATAAGTACGACGTTTATTTATTGCTTTAAATCTGATGGTTTAAGTCGAAATTGGCTTGCGACTGCTGGAGGTCGTGATAATACGATAATGGTGTGGGATCTGGATAAATCCTCACCGACAACTATTTACTCTCTTCGCGCGAAAAACACGGGGAATGTTCGCTGGCGTGTGGGAGAGGTAAGTTAAAGGTGTCTTTATCCTAATTTACGCCCTCTGAAACAAATATTTATAGCAGGCATCGAAAGTTACCTTTCTGAAGCGTGTCAGTTGTGATTTGTAATCCATGTTCTATTTAACATCGTAACAAATTGTAATGATATTAGATTATCTTTTCGCTTTTTTTGTAAATTTACACTTTTAATGATTGCATGTACCTGAATAATAATATTTCCTCTTTTCATCAGTTAATCTTCCTTCAGAATTATCATGATAGATTTTCTTCCCCAATGTCTAATATCTGCTTGCAAGAAGGTTTCTCAGCTTATAGTTGATCAGAATTAAGTTTTCGATCACAAGAGATAACAAAATGGTCGAATTAAAATGTGATGCAGAAGAATGAAAGAGGAAATATTGGAAAATCAAAATTTACGACTTTTTGGGTTCCCTTTACCTAAATATGACTATTTAATGGCAAACTTATTAAACCAATATGGTTACTTAAAATTAACCAACTTTTTTTGTTACTTTGCCCTATCAATAGTTGACCCAACTCATTTCCAGCTGTTCCCTGAGTCTCGATCTGAACATTCACCTATGGGAACTGAATCGTCCTTACATCCCCTACATCACTTTCGAAGGCCACACTCACACAATTTCAGGTGTGCTATCTCTCTTTCTTTATGAATAGATTGCATTGAGTGAGAATGGGACTAAGTCTTTCGCTTCCACTTTGGCAGGAATTGCTTGGAGCATGGACCCAAATTCCTTCTATTCCGTGGCTCGTGATGGCCTTGTCATACGTCATTATATAGGAGATGGCATTCAAATTGCCAGACAAGCAAATCCTGTTGCTTTAGCTCTCAATTGTCGGGGTGCACTGGCTCATGCTCTCGGCGGAGAGCCAGGGAGACGAATTCGCAATGGTGGAGTGACTGGAGGTGAAAATACCGTTAGGCGATTCACCACTACGATGCCCTTCAGGGAACCATTTGGGGCAAATACGGCCACTGCTCCGAGAACTCACAAATTACTGGTTACTAGACGAAGTGGTATGAGTTCTTATTGAATACTGTGCTAATCACAGTCGTTTAGTAATTGAGAGTGAAATGGTTGGGTTATGTTATGTATTTTCATGGTTATTTATTTTTATGTCCTAAGATACTCTTTCAAAGGTTTGATTCTCTGAGGAACTAAGATATAAAGAAAATATTTTCACGAATGTTAAAATTTCTCTTGTTTAGTAGGAGGATGGTGAATTGGGACATTTGCGCACTAAAATATGATTAAAAAAATTCAATTTAGCAGTTCAAACATCTGTTGTTGTATTTATTTGGAGCCATTTTTATGGATAGGACAATGCAGGGCAAAAGGACATGAAGGTTTCTTACGCTGTGGAGGATATGAATACGGAGAGTTGGTTAAAAAGATTAATAAAATGTACTGCTAGAAAAAAAAGAAATAAAATTTATTTGATAAAATTTAAATAAATGATTTAATATTTTCCAACACACCTTTTGTCTAGAGGGGTGACATCGTCGGGTCATTCTGGAAGAAATTAGTTTTGTACTCAATTCCGTCCCTTTCCTCCCTCACTTGGCACCGAGCACTCCATTTCTGTCTTCTCGATGGGCATGGTAATCCTTGTGCCACTGATACGCCAATTTTCTTGTCATATTCTGCCTCCTGAACAAGTAGTTTCGATCTTACTCTCATCTATTCTCATGTGATTGGTGGAAAACTGTATGTACTGATCAGTAGTTTACTCGGCATTGGGCTTTACTTCACTTTTACCCACAGCAATTCAACGGGTAATTGGAATCGGCTAAATGAAAACCCTTTAAATGGCCTGGAGGGGGGGGGGGGAGCGGTCGATTGGATGCTGGTAGCAAGGTCAAGGTGGTCAAGTGCCTGACTTTAGTTTATTTTTGAGCAATGTTTACAAATTTGGCAGTTCGCTTTCCAAAAACTAAAATTTCATCCTTCGTTCCCTAATAGCAACCATTTGCTTGTCTACTATGACCAATACTTATTGGTGTATATAGTTTTAAAAAGAAGGTGTCTGCCTTGCAGCTTTATATCGTTTATTTTTCTTCGAATGGCCCAGAGGACAAAATTTTCCCATATATACGTTCTAGTTCGAATGCAGCCGAGGAGGGTTGCCGGAAATACTAGAATAGCAGACCTGTGTAACCACTTTCCCACAGTCCAATGAAATGATTCATCTTTTATTTACTACGCAATGCAGCATTAGCTCATGGTTTTTAATTCTTTGAAGATGACTATTTACTTTTATGGTGTTTTCTAGTTCTTCTTCCAAATGTGGGTTTATCCGAGGATGAGAGGTTACAGCCCATGATTCCCTGTGAAGCTGAGGTACCTCCAAATATAATTCCCTCAGATGACTTTATTGCCCAAAGCCAGAGTGAACTCTACGTTGCTGATTTTCTCATGAAGGTGGGATTAACCTTACTTTCTTCTTACACTTTGTCTTTTTGAAGGATATTACTGAGCTTGAGGCTCCAATGGCTTCTTTACTCATGCCAGATACATTCGTCTACTTGGCAAGGAATTATCGCATCACCGGTAATAGTGTTGAAGAAGTCTGTAATCATAATGCGATGGTTGCTCGAAATGTGCATCAAGATTTCGTAAGTTTTCTACCCTTACTCAGAGTAAAACGTCAAAATTTGAGCGTCTTTTTCTATCTGCTTTTAGTTGGCTCAATTTTGGCTCCAGCTGAAGCAGATTCTGGGCAACTGTTGGCAATCTTACAAACCACCCCCGCCACCACCATCCCAGATTAAAAATAAACAATCTACTAGAAGGGGCTCAATTACCTCCCAACGCAGTAATCAACCTTTAGCAGCTGCCTATTCACGTCTCCATTCTGACACAACGACTCCGGCACACAGAAATCCTACATATGCTGAAGTGGCCGGTTCGCGTTCCGGCGCTGTCTGTGTTCTTGATTTTATATCTTCTGAGGACTTTGACGAATCCCGAGGTAGATGCCCAAGTTAACTATTTGTTATGGGTTTTTTAACTTAATTAAATCATACTTGTTATAGCTTGTGAAATGGTGGGCTGGGCTTGTTTATCTGAATGGATGAATTTGGAATATAAGTGAAAATTGAGATGGGCTTTATGATGCAATTCAGTGAATGCAATCCAAGTTAGCAAAGCTGGAAACCACTTGGTTCAGTGGACTTAGAGTTGGCCTATTGCTCTAAGCTTATAAAGTTTAACTTTTTTAATGTATAAGCTTTATAGCGTAGCTATAATAATTAAGCTTATTTTCTGGAAGCCTATTTGGACTTTGACTCTTCTAATCTGTTGGAATCTTCGTCAAACAACTGCAACATCATGAAGATGGGTTTGTTTTATTGGGAAAAGTGGGTCTACCTTTACTCAGTCCATTTTGTTATGCACCTGGGAACCGTTCGTCTAAGCTTAAAATATATTAATACGTATCGTACCTTTTGAATCGTATCCCGGTAAAGTATAATGCATATTTCTCTATTTTAACTAGCAATTGAAACTACAGGTGAGAGAACCTCCACTAAGAATAAGGATACAAATTCATCAAATCCCGCTACTTCGGCTTCTGTTAACGCACATTTTCGTGCTGATGCAGCGCCTACATCATCATCCACTCATAGCCACAGCTATGACCTCGATGGCATGACGGGGTCACTTGGTCACTCCTCTGTGAACTACCTCTTCTCTGTGGATGCTCAAAGAAATATGAAAGAACGTCAAGAGGGCACTGGCAGTACAACGGCTACCATCACTGCTCTATCTGAAGAATCCGATGCTTTAATATTTTCATCGGTGTTGCCGTCTCTACCTGAAGTTGACTCTGTGCCTAGCTTCACTACTCCCTCTGAGGAAGACCAGTTTTCGTAAGATTTTACTTGGTGCTATTGCTTTTGGAGTAATTCATCAATTGGCCAAATACTTACTATTGCTGTCTTTTCCTCTGGTGTTTTAGAGCACTCGTATCTGAACAACAGAGTAAGTTAACAAACCATTTTCTTATTCCCCATAATTTTATTTGGTTATCCTTTTTGGTAAACTATTAAATCTTGCTTTCATCGGTAAGTGGACGTCCTAATACATAGGATGTTCGAGATAAATGTGACGGTCTCACCAGAAGAAAGTAGTTGGTAACCTCAAAGTCAAATAAATTTATAAAAAAATAATTCAATGGCTAAGAAGTACACATCATCATCCATGATTCCTACAACAAAGTAGCTGTCATTAGCGTCTATTTCAACCTCAGACTGTGATGCGGTATTTCCGCAATTTGTCAAAGAGGGATTAGGTTGAATTCAGAGCCCTACGTGAAATTGCTGACCTTAGGGTAAAATGCTTGTCAGCCAATTTATGCGACTACATCAGTTCCAACATTTCGTCTCCCAACATCACAAATCTGTGTTTTACTTTTGTACTTGGAAATAGTTGTTCTCGTCGGGGAAAATAAAAGCCGCTGTGGAAATATAATCAGATCATCTGTTGTATTGCTTTCTTCGTAGTCTCTATTGCAATTCTCCACTCAATGCTTAGTAATTTTCACCGTGTTAAAGTAGCGTTGAAGCACAAACGTAGCCTCCATATTTTGACGATTTATACCATTCGCTAAGGCACGATTTGGTATGGGCAATAAGAAAACGATTCTTTTTTAGGAGAAAATGAAGGCAGTAGGCGTGTGAGCCACTGAAATAGGATAATCCTTTCCTTCTTATCTCCCTGTTCATTTGCCCATTTTCAATCGAAAGCATAGTTCCTCATCTGTCTGCTTTCACAAAGTTTTGTACAGCTCATCTAGTATTCAAAGTGTTGGTTGGGTTTGTGTTAATCGGTCGTTCAGTGGGCTATCATTTCGCATTCTCTTTCGCTGACTCGATGCCACCGGATGTCCGCACGCAATTTCAATTTACGTAAAACTTTCACAATTGGAGCAATGAATTGCCTAACAGTATTGTTTAACATCTATCTGTAGTTTCTTTAACCGACGTTTCGTATATGCAAATTTCGACTTATCCGCTTTCGGCAGATAGAAATTCATTAACATTGTGGATATATTACCTCGATTGTGCTGTTGAAACAAAAGCACTGTCTAAATAAATGGTTGTCCGTATTTGGGAATGTTTTGATTAGAAGTATATTTTGCCCGGCACAAACATACTGTCTTTTCCTCTACTCGCGTTTTTCTACTCCTCGCATTCTCAGTCCTGTCCGTTTTAATTGGAGAAAAGGCTATTTAAGCCTCATTAAAACTTTAATTTACAATCTTAAAAGAGCCACCATTTTACTAATGTCCTTGTTCTGCTTTCAGATATAGAACACAAACTAAGCGAAGAATTATCAAGTAGTCATCAAAGGCCTCCAGAATTTAGGTAAAGTTTTACTCTTTATCAATTGTCAAATTTAGTAAACATCGACCATCCTCAGGCGTACTTGATTTAACTTCCTCTGTGAATAATGCTGAACCAATTGACCCCACCCTTATCTCTAATCCCACACTTCCTCTCGACTTCACTCATTTGGTTGGCCAATGGTTCCTGGAACTTGTAACTACCTATATTCGCTTTAGTTTGTAGCAGTGGTACTTCCAACACTGCTAATAACAATATATTTATCCCTTAGATTGAAGCAGGACATGCTCAAACTGTTTGCACGGCTCTGCTTCTTTTCGGCACAGAAAGAACTAGAATCAATGAATGGGCCACGGAAAAACACATCGAGAACTGGTTTTATGTTTACCTTGGTGAATACTACTTAAATTGATTAAATAGTTGATAAACTTTAGAAACCTCGTGGTATTTCTGTTATTTTCAGACGCATTAATACACTTTCGGCTATGGGGTGTCTGCACTCGTATCATTAAACACTGTGGAGGTATTCAAGGAGTTACTCCTGCTCCTCCCCAACCTCTCTGTAACCCAGCCCCAACACCTAACTCTTCTTCAAGTAAGTTTTTTATCAATCACTACCTACCTGCGTTCGCCTAGATGCCTACGAATAGCACACTAATCACTATTTTCATTCAGTGAAATCGTCTTCTCTTGCCCTACCACTCGCCCGTCACATTGCGATTCTCAATCAGACGGGAACAAGCATCTCTGTGCGGTGTGGAAAATGCGCGAAGCCGATGCAACGCAATGCTACTACCACTACACCTACTGGATCGCCTATGCAGATTTTTCCACATGCTCCATGGGCCTGTGCTCGACATCCAAGTGCTGAAACAGCGCTTTCGACTTGCGCCGTTTGCCACCTGACTGTACGTGGGATATACCTTTGGTGTGTCGGTTGTAGTCATGGTGGTCATCTGCATCACATCCGCGTGAGTCGCTTAATTCTATCTAAGTAGATTAGACCACTGACCAGGTTTATGCAGAGATTGTTTTATGTTTCAGGAATGGATAAGCAAAAGAGCCGAGTGCCCTGCTGGGTGTGGACACTACTGTGAATATGGAAAATTGGATGGTAGCCTCTATTTGCAAATTTCAGCGTGATTTAACTGATTTTTCCATTGCTATATCTTTCTTATTTATATTATCAAACAAATGCACGTGTTTAATAACAAACAGATTCTGTTATTAACAATAAAAGCCCGTCAATTATAAATAAAAGACATCACTCCTTCGTACGGAATAATTCCTAACAATTCTAGTAAGATTTAAGGCAAAAGCGACAGTGCCTACGCAACTAAGTACTATGATAGAGGAAATTACTAAAACAGAAGAAACAAATCCCTCATTTGTGAGGATATCGGTGGAAGTTTTGTTACTATTTGGGGCCAATTTAAAGTCAGCTGAGCTTATTCTTCTGCAAATTTGGCTTTTTCTACTCTTGTTGACATTTGGAAGAATAAAAGCATAACACAATTTTGGGTCCCCGTTACAAATTTTGAGAGATCTCGGCAACGCCGTCTTGTAATACTGTAAAACAATGAACGATTACATTTCAGTAAATAATAAAATATTCGAACATACCGGTGCTTTAAATATTATTTGTGAAGAAATTAAAAGGATGTTTCCATTCTTCTTAGTTAATCTAAACACATGTGATCCAACTAATTCTATTGAAACCGGAGTGGTTATAGTGAAATGAAGCATTTTGTATTTCTGGTGATTAGCCAAATGAACTCGGAGCCTAGCAGCTCCTAAACTCCTTTGATCTGCATCAGTTCGAAATGTTCTTCCTGTCCAAACAATTGGCACTGTGAAATGTTCCAAAAATTGATCGCATTTTGATGTCCAATGGAATACAAGATTCTCTCCCCAGCTGTTCAAGTCACCCTGTTGGAAAATATAGAAAAGAACTAGATTTATGGTTATCAGATGTTTTTCAATAGAAAATGGTGTAATTGGAAGAGCATGACTATGCCGTTGCTGTGGGACAAATGGAACGTAGATCGTGGTCTTATAAGTTTCAAGATGACGCAAAAGACTGCCATGCATATAATTTAATTCAGAACGTTCTTGTGTGAGAATATTTAGATAATAACATAGTCCTTGATATAAATTCGGCGATGGCAACATTCGGAGCGAAAATATGAAGACAATTTGAAATACTTCAAGGACATGAATTAAAAACGGATTTAAACGCTATTTAGTATGTATTAAGTTGCTTTTATGAATGTGAAAATAAGCTAAATACTAATAATTTTTTTCGAAATATTTAATATCATGCTTTAAAATTTTCCTCAGATATAAAGTTTAGTTGTCAAAATATTTTTCCGTATAAACTCAGATTTAAATAATATTTCTATCTGATCCATTTGCAATAAATAGTGTAATCAATAGTCTTTATTTGAAATTAAAAGTAATGCATATGCGCTATCTCGCTCGAAGAATTGTCATTTTATTAGCTTGCTTGTTCAGATATTAATGCTCTCTATTTATTGAGCAAGCCATTGTTGATTAATTACGTTAATTCAAGCTAATTTGACAATATTTACACTTTATAGTTTTTATTTTGAAATGCATTATTAGTGAATATTTGAGATATGTCATGGCAAATAAAATTCGTTCTATCTCATCTCAACATCAACATGCAAGATAAAATGTGTGAAAATATCACCAACCGTTTTACAGCAAAATCTGCCTTTCTAAAAGCAAATTTTGGAAATTAAAATATTGGGATATGTTTTATTTTTTCATACCAGTGGACCAAATGTGGTGCAACATATCGCCATTATTACTAAGCATTTATATGATTGTGTGAAGTAAAGTTAACTTCACATAGTTTTCCTTCCACATGGGCACAATTTTTTACCCTGTTTTACTTATAGCCATTGTTGAGTGAATTAAGTCACATTTATTTATAATATGTATTCTCGATTTGCCTTATTGCTAAAAGACTTTTCTAAAGCGCCTCAAGCTTTTGCAAACAACGTGTAATAATACAAAGGTATAATAAGCGATTTTATCTCATTAATTCCTGCCTTTTAAGTTCTCACGATCTTTCGATCTAGCAGAAATTGAATAGTTATTTTAAAGCCAATAATATCTTATTTGTCAGTATGATCCAATCTAAGTTGCATGACAAATAAGCATAGTGGAATTCAATCATAAGCAAATCGAAGTATTTCATCATGAAACAAATATTTTTAATTCGGCGGATTACAAAGAGTAAGTTAATTTTTTCCTGATTTGCAGCCATCGCAGCAGATACGAGGTTTCGTTCTGGAATCTGATTAAAATGACATTTAAATGCAGTTTAGTCATTAATATTTTCAAATGTATATTTTTATGCATTTTGTGTAGCAGTCTCACGAAGAGAAAGGGATTGGTAACCACAGAAAATGAAATATCATAACAGAAATTTCTTTCGTTATGCTCTATTGAGAAATTCATATCAGCAACTCCCAATGTACTGATACTGACATTGGAGTCCATGACCTCTCCTAGTTAATTATTTAATTTCCAGGAGCTAAGCATGAACGGTCACATTCCAGGATTCACCATTTCTTAGGCATTACGATTGACGTGTATACCTATCCTTTCAGTCCCAAAGCAGTCAATGCATGTCTAAGTGAACTGAGTCATGTAAATAGTTGGCCGCGTTTGTTCATCCTGTTCAATATATATGAACTTGATGACACTTATTTTATCATATATTTGCACATAAAAGATGCTTTCAAACCTTGCTTTTTTAAGGGAGTCTATATTTTAAACTTAGTACTTAGGATTCTTTCTCTATTGTCAAAAAAACTAGCAGTAATATGAGATATTTCACAAATCGAAAACGATAATATAAAAAATGGGCTGAATTTAATAAAGCTGAGTTAACTGACAAAAACCACAGGAATTAAGGGTTGGTATTCCTATTTCATATTTTCATGGTATTCCTATTTCATATTTTCATCAAAGTGAAAAAGATTCGAGGGGGGGGGGGGGGACAGAAGAGTATTTCAAGGACGATGGTAGAAAAGGTAGAAGAAAGGTGAGGTGAGTACTGTAAAGTAGTCGAATATGGCATACAGTGGGGTGATGGTAATTTGAAGTCAGAAATCAACTGCCAGTTTATAGACTTTTACAGTATGAGCATACGTTTCCCAGGGTGCCCCACGTGGAGGTAAGTCTATCGCACACTCCAAATACTCATTATAATGCTGTACTAATTATAATTCAGCATTAAATGATATGCTTTGCACAAGCCCCAAATTAAATTAGAATTGCGGTTAAAAAATAATATTTTAGCCTCCTTTGGCAATTACTTTAAACGTCTTTTTGTGTAGTGTTTTGGTCACATTTTCGTCGATCTTCTTAACGTTATATGTTCTAATAATTCCACGAATTCCGTGCAATTTATTACTTACCCCCTTTGTCTAAAATTGAACTTTACGCCAGTATTCAGTTAAAATTTTCACTCTACTAAAATGGAATCCACCACATTTTCCCTGTGGCAAAAAAATACATATTTTTCTTTTCAATCGCTAGTGTCACCTTTTCCACTTTGTGCTAGAGAAATTTGAAAAGCTCGGAGAGGCAGCAGCTGACTTCGCCTTTTACCTTTTTTTGCGTGTCTTTTGGAAAATTTAAATGGAACGCATTTTCTTTAAACTCCTAACCGCCAATATCCATTAGCACTTAAAAATCCCGGCAGTTCAAGCTGTAAAGCAGGACATTTTTACAAAAGGTTGAAATTTATCTGTTGACCTCTGACTGCTCTAGATAACATTAACTTAAACTACCTTAAATGTGCGTAAGAGCGTGAATCCCACCAGGAAAAAATGTAGGAACGCTAAAAGAAAAGTATGTTAAATTATGTATTAAATTGAAATTATTTATGAAAGCAAATTCAGTTGGTATAGTGTTGATTTAATGGTGCGATTTATTGTATTAATAATTAAGATTTTCACAAATGTGATTATCAAAGGGAGTGTAGTGGAATTTATGGTCTTCTCTTTATTAATAAAATTTATTTATTTCAAATGGCTGGCGTTTTGGCAGTATCATTAGCTCTTTAGCTGACTTCGGGCTCCACAGAGAGGAGGAGGAACATCAAGGTAACAAAAATCAAGAAGTGAATAGAATAATGATTGACAGATGTAAAAGAGACAGACAGATAGAAAGGCATAGAACAGGTAAGATGGGTACTTTGGAGGGGGTCGAATATGACAAACAGTCCGGTCATAGTAGGTTGAAGTCAGAAGGCAAGTGCCGATTAATAAACTTTTTTGCCGTATGCGTATACGTTGCCCAGGGTGTACCACGTGGAGGTAAGTCTATTGCGCACCCCTCATTAAGAAAATAGTTTTGAGTTTAAGTATGTGGCGATGTTGGGAACACATTGAGTAAAGTCGAGTAGGCTCTAAACCAATTTAGGTGACATCAGCTGGGCACTCTTGGTTATTAGAAAGAACTGTCCTGTCAATATGGTACGATAAAAGATTCAATGGAATTAACTGGCCAATTAGCTGGGAGCTTTCAACTCCGGGGACAACGAGTGGGAAAAGTGTGTTATATTAATTAATTCATAATTCACTTGTGACCATACTCTTCTAAGGCCCTCATTTTAACCTCACACACAAAGTGTCATTTAATGTCCCTCCGTTGCTTCTTTCCTCTCTCTCTTCACCGCCACATCTAGATGTCCTTTTCATAATGGTGAATTTTTAAATTGCAAGTTTTATCATGAATGCCAATACAGTAGTTTGTATTTTAGCCCTCTTCAAGATAGGCGTTATTCCACATCAAAGCCCAAAACTCGCGTTCTCAAGGATGACTTCCTCTCTGCTTCTGCCGTATCCCATCTTATTGTAGAGAATCTGGAGAAAAAAACTAGAATTACTAGAGAAATACTGCCTTTTTCACATTTTTAGTTTGTAATTTCTGTAATTGATATTCACTTAAAAAGACCATTACCTTTGTAAGATCGAATTTTCTAGCAAATAAGTACTTCGAACATCGAATTTTTCTAGCAACTCATACAATTTGAATTAAAGACACCCAGTCTCGAATGTCTTGGAAATTCCATTTATCCAACTAAATTGTATAATAGTCAA